GGGGGGGAGGTTTTATTCCATCCCCCTATTTCTCTATTTCAACACCATTTAGTTGTCAGTCTAGGGTGAAAATTGTGAAATGTTATAGGTTTAACACTTATATCAACACTATTAGTGTTTATTTAAGAGGCGGGACCTCCTCGAGTTTAACGTCCGTCTCCGAAAGGATCGAGCGAAATTGGAAATTCGAACAAATTCCCTTTCACAAGGACACAACGTCGGAACAAGCTGAGGTTAGAAGCCCAGAACCTGCAATCTCAAAATTACGGGTCCGGTAGACTAACCTACTAGGGTACCTCTCTGTCTCTGTACCTCTCCATCCTCTTTCTCTGGTTGTATGTCTGTCAGTCTGTCTGTCGTCCACTCTCGCTCTCCCTTTCTCTCTCTCTCTCTCTCTCTCTCTCTTTTATAGTCTTTCTCATACGACCAGACAGTATTCAGGGGATTTGATTGATAGGATAAGAAAAAAGGATTTAAAAAATGGGAGGGGGGGGGGAGTAAAGTTCAACCTGAGGCATAGTAAATTATTCAATCCCATATCTTGTTTATAGCATCGTTTTAAACCTGTTTCTTTGAGAGTTTCTCTAGTCTTCTCTCAAAAGTTCACGGAAACTCATTCTTCTTGCAAACATCATATTTATTTTTCGATCGCTACTGCAAAGCTTGTTACCAGCGTCTGTGGTGTAATGGACGAAAAATGCATGAGCTCCATTCCCCATGGGTTAAGGTTGTTTCAGTTTCATCCGGTATGCCCATTTTTCTGCTGAGATACTGGATCCCACTGCGCCCTGGTTTGGGCTCTCAAAGAGGGTCTAAGCAGCCCGCTTCCTAAATTGTTTAATTGTTTGTGTCAGCGAAAGCGTAAAATGTGCAGAAGCAATAGACAATACACGGATTCTCATTTCGGGCTAAATCATGTCTATAGTGTCAGAAAATATCTCCTCAATCAATACATGTGTAAACGAATCCTGTCCGGCATGATGGAGTCATTAACCACATCTGTGCTTACCCCGAAACCTTCTCAGGCTTTTAGCAAATTTTGGTCAAAGCGGGGCAGTAAAAGAGTTAAAAGTTAGCTAAATAAATAGTCGTAAATTCTGTTTCATAAGGTTGTTTTATGACCCTTGTTTGGTCTGTTTGTATTGCAAGTGCAGTAAAATTCGAACTGAAACTAAAACTGAAGATAAGACGCGTATACATATATCACTCTCTCTCTCTCTCTCTCTCTCTCTATATATATATATATATATATATATATATATATATATATATATATATATATATATATCCATCTATCTATCTATCTATCTATCTATCTATCTATCTATCTATCTATCTATACACACACACACATATATATATATATATATATATCTTTAGCTCACTCCTATATCCCCCCACCCCAAGCATCTCTCCTCATATCCCCTAACCCTCCACCACCGATCCATCTCTCGCACCCCTCCCCCCACCCCTCGCTTCCGTACCCGTCTCCTAGCCTCCCCGTGGAGGATACTTCAGACGCAGTCAACAGATCCTCAGCGGCCATTTCTCCACATTATCTCCCAGACACCCAATAACATGAGTGTCAACAACGATGTTCTCAAATTGTTATCACAAACACGATGAATTGTTAGCGGTGATTTGGAGCCTCTGAGAGGCACCGTCCTGCGGTCTTCAGCTCCGCTTTTCCACGTGAACCTCATAGTTGTTTTTTTATTTGGCTGTTTGGTTGGTTGGTTGTTTTTCTCTTATATCAAATGTTTGTAGAAAAGTCTTTGAAATGTATTGAGCCTTGGCTCAAGTGATAGATACGTGATTGGTGCCTACAACATTAATCTTTATTTACAAGACACGTATTCGGAAGAACAGCGGAAAAGTAATCAAGAAATATAATTTGATGTATTGATACAATCATTTTATATTGGATTATTCCCAACCCTAACCTTAACCCTAATACTAGCCCTAATACTAACTTTAACCCTAACCCTAACCCTAACACTAAACCTAACCATAACCCTATCCCAACCGTAGGCCAAACGTTACCTAACCCTAACCGTAATCCTGCAACCTAAAAATAAAGCATTATAAGGGTCTGTCAGACCCCCATTGTATAGGCTAGGATTGAAACCCTCGCTAGTACAAGTTATGTATTAACCATGACATTCATATAATGATCTTTTACTTTATCTTCGTTTTACGGCGTAATTGTGTCAAAATAAGCCTAGAGCGCCCACGTCAGTTCCCAGTGCTACCTTCGATGATGCAGTTACAATTCCCTAGTTTATCGTTTAGTGGGCTTGGAGCCAGAACTCATAAACAACCTCGAACATTGGTATCGTTGAATACTTGGGCGATGAGGGAGATTTTGCGGTTTGTTTGAAGAGATCATTAACCGTTCACACCGTATTATCTCTTTGTTCTTCCTTGTCGGTCAGTGAGGTTGTTGAGTGTGGTGTGTGTGTATGTGTGTGTGTGTGTGTGTGTGTTTGTATGTGTGTAA